GTGTGTGTGTGTGTGTGTGTGTGTGTGTGTTAGATGTTTACAGTTATTGCACTTTTCTTATATTTCAGATAATTGACATTTTAAAACCTTGATTTATTGATACTACAAGAGCCAGTGTACTTGATTTGTGCTGTTCAGATGCACACTGTTTTATTGATAGTGTGTGTGTAAGATGTTTACACTTATTGCACTTTTCTTATATTTCAAGACTCAAATATTTGACATTTGGGGAATTTAATAAATATTGACATGACAATCAATTTGAAACCCTTACAGTTGCATATTTGTTTTCAGAATGGGATTTTTCCTTTTAAAAGGATTTCCTGTTTTTCTGACTTCCTTTTCTGACCTTATGCTTACCTCAAGTTGCCTTCTGGGACATACATGCATACATACGTACATATCATACTTGCCTGTTGAGGAGTTTATTCATATTATCTCATATAAAATCAACAATAATGATAATAATAATATTAAGGAAAACAGAGCTCTGGTATCGGAATAGTATCGGTATCGGCCGATATCCAAATTCAGGTATCGGGATCGGATCGGAAGTGAAAAAATGTGGATCGGTGCATCACACTGTTTATATACATTTACATACCACTATTGTCAAATATTTATCTAAGCATGCTGTGTATATATAGACATGTACATGCCTACTTCATGTATATTAATCATTCAGTATTTATTCCAGCACTCTGCTGCACCGCACTATTGTATTCTGCTTTACAATTTATAAAAGTTTGTATGTTGTTGTTCATTGTTGCTTTTTATATACATTAATAATTTTACTTGTATAACTTTATGTTCTCTTTATGTAAAATTGCCCAACTGTATGTCTACAGTAACATTGAGAGCAACAGAAACTGGAGTCAGACTCCTTTTATGTCCACATAGTTGGCCAATAAAGCTAATTCTGATTTCACTAACTAAATGCTAACACCAGCACAACTCAAAGATGTCTCATCATTAAATGGATATCCACTTTACCAGCTGCTTCCTCCAAATACTGGAGCTCCTGATTCAGAAGTCAGTCAGATCAAAATATTGATATGAATCAAAACTTTGAGGTGATCAGTTTGTTCATTTAAAGAAGAGTTGATGCTCTTTCACTTCCTAAAGAACAACAAAAACACACAGTGGCTAGTGGCTAGAGCTTTTCACAATAACCACAATAAAACGCAGCGCTTTTGACAACACAACCGCAGGGGACATCACCGGGCCGAGCAGGTTCACAGCCCGGGATAACAACTTCACACAGGGCCGCCTCACTCACTCTGGAAAAACTCCAGACTGGAAACACCAACAGTCTTTTAGTGGAAAACTCTCACTGGTGATCTTGTGACCGCTGGTTATCCCAGTTTACCACAGCTGTGGCGTTTGTGTCCCGCAAATGTTTCAGTTTAAGGAGTGACCCTGTAACTGGCAACCTTCAGTCCAATATTTGAACTAACTGGTAACTTTATTAGGCTGAAAGTTAAAAGTTAACATGGTCACAGACCCAGGAGGCAGGAGGAGGGAGATCCTGTCCACGGTGGTGTTACTGAGGTGATGTAATGAGTCACCACCCAACTGTTTCTCTTTTGTTGTTTTTCCAAGCTGCAGAATTAGCATTAGCTGAGTTAGCTCAAATCCACAGCCACCATCTTAAACTGGCACCTGCTACAGCTTGTTCAAACCCTGTTAATTATGTAAGTTATAATTACAATCATGGCTCACGCAATGGAAAATTACACCTTTTCCCATTAAGGTTTTTTTTTTAATTGTTCATTCCTGAGTATAGTGAACATATTTAAAGTATAATAAAACTGCAAGAGTGCAGCCTACCAGACACACTGAGCAAACAAAGTGCAGACAGTGTTGAAGTATCGTCATGCTACGTGCACACATTGGCTTCCATGTTACTCACATCAGATACCACACAGCCCTCTGTGTATATTTAGCATTTTGCAGCAGCCACCTGGATGCATGAGGGCAAAGAGAAAGGGTCTAGCAGTGTAGTGGAGGAAACACAGCATCAGCACGTACAGTGGTGAGTGTGGTACAGCTGCATGTATTCAAAGGGAAACAATGGATATCCATCCTGTGATGCTCAGTGCAAAGAGGGAGCATTGTCATTTCGTTTCTCTGTACTTTCCGTGATTTCTAAAGTTTCACATTTGCGGCACAATGTGTCTCACCCTGATGATGTCAATCACAGATGGTCATATCACGTATCTCGCTTGCCAAATAGTCCATTCGGAGCGAATCTGTGATAGTGGCTGAGCCCTTACTCAGCAGAGAAATGGGTATCTCTTCCTCTTCTATGACGGATTCATTCCTCTCTGTGTGTGACGTCTGAATGCCGATGCCAGAAGATTTGGAGTGACTGACACTAAGTCCTGATGATGAATAGCGGAAATTAAACCAACGGTGGTGACAGGGACAAAAAAAGCTAAATTAAACGCAAACTAAAGCAGCAGTCACCAAGAGAGACTCAAAACAAAACAGCATATGTTCCCCGAGGGCACCAAAATGCTACTGCACGCGGTAACAAACAGCAACCCACCAACTGACAGATTCTCCCTTTAAACTGTGTTGACAAGGAGAGCGGCGGGAAAAAAAAGTGCATTGAAATTGTGAACGAGTTAATAAGCTGATCTGTAATACACTTTCTCTATTGCGCTCTCCGCGAACGCCATCCATCACTGTCACATACAGTTTATCTCATCTAGGAGGGCGGCGTTGTACCATAAATCGAATTCCAATCGCTTCCAGGACAAAAATATGATGTAATTAAGAGAATCTGGTCTTGCCTGAGAGCTTCCTGCAGATTCATTTCAGCCAAAATAAAAAGGCTTCAATCTCCTATTTTGCGCTACGAGTGAGAACAGCATCAAATTATTTAGTGTGGAGCATTTCAAAAGATCAATTCTGTGTGTCACGTTGGCCCAATAACTCTAACAGACAGCATGCCTTCACATATAAAACCCCCAACATGAGGGTTAAATGAGTTAAAACCGTCTTATTAGATGCACATCCAGGGGCTTGCTTCCTCTCACAGGATATCAATAACATGTAGTTCACAACACAACAGATGTAAACGGCCTATTTATAGATATAAGGGGTTGTGATTCAAAGGTGTTTAACAGTGATTTGCTACTACCACGGTTGTTTAAAAATAAAAGGGGGTTGAAAATCATTGATCTATGGGAATTTACAGGCGTCATAAGGAGGAGATTCTGAGGGGTTCTTTGCAGGGCTGCAGCAGTAACTTATTGGCCCGCAATCATTATCATAATCATCTTTTAAAAGACTAACAGCTGTGGTATGATGAGGAACTTATTAGCTCTGATCTAAACATCCTTAATTCTGGGAAGAGCTCCTAAATCTGAACATTTGTCGGCGCTTTAGTGGCAGAGAATTACCTAAATCAAGATTCAGCCTCATCAAACGGAGGCTTTGCAGTCACGTTAGTCTGCCAGAAGATAAAAAATGGAAATTGGAAGAGGATGTCAAGCAAGCTGAAATCAATTAACATTTTTTTCTTTCTTTCATCAGTTGTTCTATCACCTCCAGTTCAACAAACTAGACCTCCAAACCCATGTTCATCACTGTCATCTGAAGTCATCCGTGTGTGTGAGGGACCCATTTTGATATGCCACTGCCTAATTGAGATTAAACCACTGTATTTCATGTCACAGGAGATGAATGGAGGACTGTGGGACATTTCTGAAATTAAATGGAACATTTTCCCCCTCCACTTTTACAATATCAGTACCTGGTCGCGCGCCAGTGCACAGGCTTAAATGAGAGAATTTGGCAGGGCTGCCAGTATTAACGACCCGGGCAGCGTTGTAAGGTTGAAAGCCACGGTGGTCACAAAAGAGATGGGGCTTGGCTTCTCTGGTATTACTCCACGGCACACACACACACACACAAAAAAAAACCCTACCAGTGTGGGTAAGTATTGATGTAGCCACTTCAAGGGGGAAGAGTAATTCCAAAAAAAAGAGGATCAGTCCTGTAGGAGGGAGATGCGTTTGAGATCTGTGGCATTCATGTTTCAAAGCAACTGTCAAAATAAATCTCCAGACATGGATTTTTTTTGGGGGGGGGAGGCTTAGGCATACTGTTCACAGCCAGCAGAGACACTGGCCGTGAATTGTTGTTATGACCCCTTGACAACAAGGTAAAATCCCATTGAGCAGCTTGCCACAGAGTGTTATATCCCCCTGCTTTCCATTTTTACTGTCCCCTTTCACTTCCTTGGAGGAGCGTAGCAGCATAAGTGATAAAGCACAGCATGGTGACACTCATCCCTTTATGCAATGAAACAAGAGGACTGATGGGGTTTTTACTAGTTCATATTAAGTGACACGGATTAGGAGCCGGATAAATCATTGTGCTTAATATTAGGCTATAAAGTGCACAGCATTATGAAATGCACAAAGCTCTCATCTACTTATCTGGATTTATTCTGTCTGTGCCTGGCTCTCTCTTTTTCCCCCCTCACACACACACACACACACACACAGACATATATAAATGCCAATAAGCCAGACACAATCGAGCCAACTTATCTGAATGATGGCGCGCACTTAAAACGACATATTAAGTCTGGCCGTGATGGCAGGCTGACCTATTAGAGCTGTCTAACCCCACACCGGAGAGGAAGCGGCTCCAAAACACCAGCACTTACATCCGAAAGGACTCAACTAAAACCTTCAAGTTCAAAACGCCACAACAGGACAGTTCAGACACTATATATTAAAACAAAACAGCCAGAGGAAGCTGAGGGGGCAGAATGAACTGAAGGGTCAAAACAGCCCATTTAAGAACCAAAAGCAGCCGCTAACTCAATTTCACTTCCCCAAAAAGAAGCAGCATCCGTCCGGTGGCAGGAGAGAGCCTGGAGCGGACAGTTAGTGCCCGGGAACGCCAGCAGTCGCACCGCGCACCGGAGAAAAGCAAAAAAAAAAAAAAACGCAGTCTTTTCTGCATTTTTAAGCACCTACCCGGTGTTGTTCTCCGTGTTTCCGTCGTTTATAACTTGTCCTGGGTGTCCTGGAGGTGGTGGTGGAGAGAGGGAGGGGGGGGTGGGTGGGCGCGCGCTCCGTCCGCTCCACACCGCGCGGATGCCTCCTCTGCTGCTCGGCGTCTCGCGCTGCACGCTCGTGGACGGGGAGGTGGGGGCGGAGGTAGAGAGGGGCATGTCCAATCAGCGGCCGCCTGACGAGGAGGGATACAGCCAATCGACGGGGCAGGAGAGGAGAGAGGAGAGAGGAGGATGCTGCTTTGTTTAACGGAGATTGACTTTCAGGCGACGGAGCCACCGCTTGTCGCGGCTGAGTGATCTGATGGGTCCGATGGCATCCGGGCGACAATAAACCCGGTCCCGGTTTAACTGCTCCTGTTAAGGGTATCCTCATTTAATAGAAACGACACTACCAAAGGAGAAGGTTCACTTTTTTTTTAAAGTGGAAAGAGACAACTTTTTTTTAATTTAACTCATCATTATGTGTAATGGCGGTGTATAATAATATCATTATGTGTAATGGCTATAGAATAATGACACAGTCCGCCTTTAGATTGGTTCTCTATAAGCGTTCACTGTGCCACTGGTTCTCAGACTATGCAGAGGAAACTCTAAAATAGTTTTTAAAATAAATAAATAAATAAATACATTTAAAAACATATAATAAAGTTTAAATACTTAAAGGATTTAGTGGCATCTAGAGGTGTTGTTGCAGATTGCAGCTTCTTCGCTTCACCCTTACCTGCCAAGCCTGTAGGAGGAACTAGGGTGGCGAAAAACATTTATTTTAAATGTATTTAATTTGATAATCACTTGATCATTAGAGCTAGTTTTTCTAAGAGGTGGAATTGTAACTGATTACATTTATTCAAATACTGTACTTAACTACAATCTTCCTTTCAGAGGCAAATATTGTACTTTGTGTTTATCTACAATTTTCAATCAGAACTATAAATTAAACTACCCGGAAGTTCGTACAACTACAGATGAAACAATTAGTTGATCAATTTTGTCTTTTACAACAGCAAAGTAAATATCTTTAGATGTCACCTTGGGCTTTAGGAAATTATGAGTATGAGCCATTTTCAATCTGTTATAAGCAATGAATTGGTTAATTGGAAACATATTTGTCTGATTAATTGATAATGAAAATAATAATTAGTTTCAGCCCTAAATCACTCCTCCTCTACCTCTCTTCATACCTCCTGTGAAAAGATCCTCTCCTATATGCAACAAATTAGGTGCCTCTCTTCCACAGTTAGTCTGCTTTGTACAAAACGTTCTCCTGTTTCCCCAAAATAACGTTCCCTTGCTTATCTGCAATGTAGGGGACAGTAACACTAAACAGGAAATGTCTTCATTTGAAGTATTTTGGAGTCATTTTATGGCTTTATTAGAGACGCTGACAGGGAACGCGGGGTAGGAGAGATGGGGAATGACATGCAATTAAGGTGGTGGGTTGCACTGCGCTTCATTAGCAAACAGCCAAAAATATCATGGTAAATGGTACTATCAAACTATTGCCTCAGACCGTCTGAAAACGCTCCTATTTCAGCTCAATCACAATAAAATGGCTTCCCACCAGCACTGAACAGAGAATAGTGTGATGCAACTTTGTGAGACTCTGCAGAAGTATTAATATAAAATACACGCAGTCAGCACAGGAGAGGACTTCACCCTCCGCCCATTATGCAGAAAACTGAGGAACTTCTGTAACAAGTAGCAACTTTTGTAGTATTCCTTGTATTAAACCTGTATTACCCACAATGCAACTCAACTGGCTTCAGTTCAGGTTGGAGATCCAGGTGTGGTATGCTAGCAGCTGCTAATGTATAGCCTGGAGCCTCTAGGCAGAGATGAGGAGCGTGCTACAGAGGTCCGAACTCCACACCTCCAGGAACATCTGCAGCCACCAACAACTGTTTTAACATATGGACATTTAATAACTGTTTTCAGGACTAACTTGAAAAAAATATGAACCTGCCCTTTAGGCTTTAGTTGGTCTATCAGACCATAATTAGGCCCTGGGAGGTCCAGAACCTGCTGGTTGGTTTCTGAAAAAAAATTTGCAATTCTATTTAAAATTGTAACACTATTCTGGGTATCGTCAACAGCTGTACTCTCAGTTTTAATATGTGTTGCCTACCCTGTCTGTTTGAATGGGCAGTTGTCTGGGTGTATAATTGGTTGGCAGGCGGGGGGTGGGGGGGGTTAAAACGATTAAAAGTGCACAAAATGGCATCTACTTTGGACTGTCAATGAAAACGTTACAGGAAAAAACAATTGCCTAATTAAAAAGATGCCAAACAGCATTTCATGAAAGGATTCTGAATTATTGAACCAGCAACAGCGAACAATGCTCCCCCAACTTAAAGGAAGTGTCAGCACAATGTAGCATGACCCACACTGAATGTGTAAAGCCATCACTTTTCTGACACTAAAATACAGTTTTTTTGCTGGTGTAATTAACATTGCAGTATATTCTCTTTGCAGCCAATTACCCCACGTGTTCAAGCTGTAAGTGAGAAAGGGGGGAAAAATCTGTCAGAGGTGACAAAAGCCACCTAATGGAAAAATCTGTAACTCCTACAGCAGGCCTGCTCTATCAGTGAAAATCAATACGCCTTTCGCCGAGGAGATCTCAGCCGGACTGTGTTATCTAGGTAAGCCATAGATCAAACTAGCCAGCCACACAAAAGGGGATACAGCTAAGTACCATTACTGCTCCGGTGCCTGTGAGCGTACTGATTAAAAAGTCATATTGTTGAGTTTATGAATCTTTATTTCAACCACAAGATATAACAGAAATGGAAAAAAAAGGGAAAACCTCCTTATTTAGACACAAAAGAAAGCTGGTAGCCATTTAATCAAAGAAAAATATAGTTTGTAATCAAAGCACATTTTGCAAATTTTGAAAATATAGCCCTGTTTCGATCAGTCAGATATGCTTACTGGGTAACATACAAGAACAAAGATCCACTTTCAATTTCTCTGCACACCAGGTGCATTCAATCAGCATCAAACAAAGCTAGATATTGAAGAAAAGAGCTGTAAAAGTATAATTTTAAAAACTCAGTACAAAAACACTAGATTAAATGAGAGCAGTTCATCTCTCCATGGACATAGATGTGAAATTACATGTGGTAATCGCCGCTGCCTGATTATTAGCTGAATGGGTTGATTTCAAGAGCTGTCGCCGTCATCGTCGTCATAGCATCTGTTCCTCTTGATCTGCTCCTCCACTGTCAGGCCGTCGTCCTCGTCGGCCCACAGAGAGGAGCCATCCCGCCCTGCGCTGTAGTCCCCTCCCGTCACACCGCCCGCTTTATCTGCGCTGTCTCTCGCCTCCATCCCGAAATCCAAAAGGTCATCCAGCGACGACACCAGAGGCGTCTCCCCGGCAGATTGACTGAAGATGTCGGACTTGAAATCAGATAGCAGGCTGGAGCTGCTGGTAAGGCCAGCGAAAATGTCCTCGAGGAAGCTTGATGTGCTAATCCTTGGCTCGGTGGCCTCGTTTTTGAAAGCGAACGCTCCCTCGGCTGTCTCTGTCAAGAAATTTGTGTCTGAATAGCAGTCTGTGGCTTCAGTACATTTGGCACCCGCTGGCACAAAAGCATCCTCCCTCTGTGCCCATTGCAGCACTTCACTTGGCATCCATTTTGATTCTTCACAGTGATCAGCTTGGAAGAAATCTGTTGCTCTAGTTGTATCTGTCAAAAAGAGTGACGGATTTTTCTTTCCCTCATCCTCAGTAAGCCCTTGTAACAGGATTTCATTGTCAAGCAGCGTCTGGCCATTATTATTATTATTATTATTGGAGTTAGCATTCTGCGCCTGTCCTTCCTTCGCCTCTTCATCTATTAAGGTGACCTTTACCGCCTCCCCATTGTTCATGCCGTCATTATTTCCTTTATCTATCTCCTCCTGGCTTCCCTTCTCACCTGCTGCACTTTCTATCTGCCCGTCATGTCCATTTACTTTCCCTTTCTCCCCCCTTTCCACACTTTCCTTTTCATCTTTCTCCGGCATTTTCTTGCTTTCCACAGCTCCACCATCATTCCCTTCGTCCTGTTCTTTCTCCGCCACTCCAGGGTGCACTTCAGAGTCCATTTCAGCACCCACTCTTGTCACAGCCTCAGAGCCACTGTTTGACTCTTTGGTTTCTTGAGTGTTAGTAACACTCACTGGTTCCTCAGCGGCTGCTACAAGGGAGGCCGGCGCCTCAGACTCTGCTGGAGTCTCTTCAGCCTTTCTCTCTGTTAAACAGGCACGCTCCGGCACCTTGTCATTTTCCTGGGGCCCATTTTGTACTTTAGCTGCGGGGATATCAGTCTCATTTAATGAAGGCTTCACAGGTTGATTTAGGTGTTCATTTTCCTGAGCAGAGTCCTCCTGAGGGGGCCATGATGGCTTAACCAACTTCAACTCCTCCTCGACAGTGAAAGATTTCTTCGGAGAATCTGATTGAGGAGGCCACACTACAGAAATCTTACTGGAGGTTTTTTTGTTTTCATCCACTGATTCGTTTGTGTCATTATCCTGAGTAACTAATGTGCTCTGAGCCGTGGAATATCTGGGCTCCATGACTTTCCTTTCAGGTGATGGCGATTTGATTTTTGTTTTTTCAGCTGAATTCTCTGGGTTCTTGTTATTCCACAGTTCTTTGTGTGGTTTCTGTCCAAATCCCTCATCATAATTTCCTTTGGACTTGAACAGTTGCTTGTAGTGTGGCTTGCAGTACATTCGTCCATGGAGAGAGGCATAGTTGCCAAGACTGTTAAAAAAAAAAAAAAGGAAGAAAACAACACATGTTAAGGTGGTGCAAAGGAAAACCGTACGAATGCTTTTGCTCTGTGAAATAGTTTCACCTTAGTTTGCCTCTGCAGTGTTCACAGCGAAAGCAGCTTTTATGGAAGTTTTGTTTGTCTGCAATCAGCGATTCCATGGGGTACACCCTCTTCCGACACACCTTGCACAGTTCGGACTCTGGAACTCGAATTTTCTGAAAAGGAAACAAAATAACACTTTAATTTACAGGTTCGGAATTTTTTT